TGTGTGTCGCTGCTGTTGTGCAGTTGCTGCAAACCAGAGATAAAGGGAGCATTATTGTAGAAAAGTCAAATGATATTCTTTGTGCAACCTGATTTAAAAAGGAATAAAGTGAGAACACATTTTACTTACTATCTGTCTCTCTCTCTCTCCATAGGATGGCTCCAGAGGTAGCAGCAGTAGAGAGGAAAGGAGGTTACAACCAGCTGTGTGATATCTGGGCTGTGGGCATTACTGCAATAGAGCTGGCAGAACTACAGCCACCCATGTTTGACCTGCACCCCATGAGGTAGAAGAGTGTGTGTGTGTGTGTGTGTGTGTGTGTGTGTGTCTGTCTTAGAAATAAAAATAAAGGACCAAAATGGAATTCTTGTCTTGTGATTGGAGCAGAATCCATTACTGTTTATAACATTGATGATGGCTATTGCAAAAGGTATCATATCACTTTGTTTGAGTTTATAGTTAACCAAAAACAGAACCATATAATCAGTCATTAATGTAACTCATTTGATATTTGCTTTTCCTGCTGAGTCAGAATGTCTCATGTGAAAAAGGTTAATATACCTTGACGGATGCCTATATATTGGTGTCCTCAGTTAATGTAACAAGCTTTCAGTGTGTATTATACAAAGTATTTAAACATATGTTGTATAAAGTGCCATAGAATAGAGAGACCTAGATGCAACAGTTGTGTTTTTGATTTTGTCATTTTAACAGCATGGTTTGAGGCTCTTTCAGCACACAGCAGTGCTCCGCTGGAAAAACTTGAAGTTTAATCGTTGTCTCTCTTTTTCCGCAGGGCTCTCTTCTTAATGACCAAGAGTAATTTCCAGCCTCCTAAGTTGAAAGATAAACTCAAGTGGTAAGAGACCCCCCTGTCCATAATGTATTTGTCTTCCTTCACGTCTGTCTTGACTATTTTCAGCCACTGAGATACATTTACTATAGATTGAATGCCTTACCGTTGAGATCACCCAGTTTTATTAGATCTGTGCCTCGCTTGTTACAAGGCTAAAAGATTAAGCCTCTCTTCCTTTTCTCTGTCTTTCTCTCTCTTGCTGGATGACAGGACGAACAACTTCCACCATTTTGTCAAACTGGCCCTGACCAAGAACCCAAAGAAGAGGCCCACAGCTGAGAAACTGCTGCAGGTGAGCAACAACACAACATATTTACACTTTAAAACAAACACATTGGATGGTTTTACTTTAAGTATGGTTACTCATCCTAGCTATACTCTAATTTGTGAATACATACTGCACAAGAGACCAATTCCACATTAAAGGTTATTATGCTGGTTGGTTTTTTTAATGTGCAAAAGCATTCATTGCTGTGCTGTATGTTGCATGAACTGGACTAACACTGTAAAATGTAAATAACGGAAGCCAGGCACAAAATCCCTGTGTAATAAAACTTAATCACTAGGTCTCGGCTGTTACATTCATTCTTACTAGTACCACAGCAATTAGTCATTGATTAATGGGCTAGTTAGTAAATAGAAATCAATCAACGGTTTGACGGCTCTGATAAGCAGTCATTTTAGTTATTTGTGAGGCAAAAGGGCAAACGTCTGTCACAGCTTCTATTTGAATATCTGTGGGTTATTAAAGTCCTGGACAGACAGACAGACAGACAGACAGACAGACAGAATAAGTCATTTTAACACTTATTGGCTCCCTCTCTTTGCTCCTGTCTTCCAGCACCCTTTTGTGTCCCAGCCTCTCAGCAGGACGCTGGCAATAGAGCTGCTGGACAAAGCCAACAACCCCGACCACAGCACCTACAATGACTTCGATGACGACGATCCTGAACCAGAGGTAACCTTTGACCCTTCTCAGGCTTTGCTTACAAAACAAAAGTGTCATGAAGCTCGCAGATAGGAAAACGGAGTACTGACTATGTTTTGCTGGATCTCGCTTCTTTTCCTTCCCTTTAAATTGTGCCCTCCTTTTTCCCCATTTGTTTACGAATTCCTTCTTCACCAACCACCGTTCACCCTCTTTTATACTCTCCTTTTTTCCCCCAGCACATGTGACTCATCTTTCTGCTCTTTATCCTTCCCCTTCTCCCTCCTTCCTTTCCTTGCCTTCTCTCTCCTCTTCTTCTTTCACCTCTTTTCTCCTCTTTATTTCTCACTTCTCTGCTTTTATCTTCCCTTCTGCTCACCGTCTTCCTCTTTCCTCTTCTCTTCCTCCTTGTAGCACTTCTCCTTTCTCTTCTTCTTTTTCTTCTTCTTTCTCCCTCCCATTTTTTCTCCTGTCTTCTTGTCTCCATCCCCCATCCTCTACCTCCTTCTCAGTTTAAGTATAGGGGTCATTTCCTACCCGTAAGCCCCGGTGCTCGACGTGCACCCCGTTTTGCGGCCCGTATAAAGGTACCGATGTGGGCTGCGGTGTCTGCAGTGATGTCATTCTAACACAAACGATACTGTCAGTTGTTTCTTCACTTGGGAGGGCCACAGAACTGAATGAATAGAAGCTGGATTTCCATTCAATTAAGTGTCTACTGGTGTTGTCGTGGAAACTGGCATTGGCATGTGACTTTCAGACGGTTTGATGGAGTGCCATGGCAGTTGTAGAGATACTTTAACATGCCGGTTTAACGTTCATGCTTTTATGTTGACATGCACAGCAGCTGGTGTGGTTATTTGTATAAGCGTTATGGAATACGGTCGATTTCATTGACCTACACAGAAATACATTTTTGGCCTGATGAAGAACACACTGCCAGTGACTTTAGTAAGACTATATAGTAGTGTTTTTTTTTTTTTATACTAGTATTCAGTTTGGGAGATATGCTTAGTCGATTTGTTGCTGAGAGTTAGATGAGAAGTCTCATGTCTGTAAATACAAAGCCACAGTCAAACCACAGTCTTATTATTTTTAATCCATACAAAACCTGAAGTGTAAAGAAAAACACACATTGTTATTCCAGGAGGGGTTACATGCTGATTTTGTTATCAGTGACAGAGCCAGGCTAGCTTTTCCTGTCTTTATCCTATGCTAAGCCAACCACCTGCTGGCTGTAGCTTGAGAGTGGTATCAGTCTTCTCATATGACTCACAGCGAGAAAACGAATAAAAAATGTATTTCCCAATATGTAAAATTATTTCCATTAATTTCTATGTAGCTGCAACAGATATTCTAACTCTATACTGACTGTGCTCACTTCCATGACAACATTATTGCCATCTTGGCTAAACCACAGCTCAGTGTTCAATAGGGATCCGCTCTTTTCATTCTAGTTCTGTGGCGGCGGCTGGCCGAAAGAAATGGCTTAATTCATGAAGATGGCAACCAAAGTGTGACATCATCTCACTCCTTTTTAAAATAATGCATCTAAACCACATCCAGGTCAAACTGTGTTGATATTGTGGTTTGTCTTTGTCCACTTGTGTGCTAGAGAGGTAGAGTTTCTCACTTTAAATAAAAGCCTGACCTTAAATTCAGGAACGTTAAGTTAGGGAAGATATTTGAACATCAGTGATACAGTAAAGGATGACCATATGTTACTCCAAGCAGCTTAAAATAGACAGTAAGGATTGTTTTACCCATTTCTGATTAAAATATCACCACTCAAATATGTCAGTTATGGAAGCCATCTTCATCTACCTTTGCCGTGACCGTTACTAACCATGAGTTGTGTGTTGCGATAATGAACTTTATTCCCCCTATATGAAGTGGTTTTAAATTGAACAATCTCTTAGTGGATCTGTGCAACAAATGTGCTTGTCATGGATGCATCGTTCGTTGTGGTTTGCCTTTTTTCTAGTGCTGTACAAGCATGGTTTGAGATTGCTGTGTTTTTAGCTTCTCTACAATGACGAGTTTACATCTTAAGGTTAAATACTGAAGACGTGAAGTCAAGTAGGGTTTGAATTCTATGGAAGTGTTGTTTCATTTTGTGAATGGCCAGTTGTACTGTATAAACATAAACAAAGGAAACCAACAACTAGCATCACATACAATAGTTGATTCAATGTTTTAATGGATAACACAGCCTGGGTTGAAGAAGAAGAAGAAAAAGAAGAAGTTTATTAATCCCCGAGGGGAAATTGTTGTTTTCACT